ATATCTGACTTCATTGTTTCACATCTTTGTGTATATTTTTATGTTCGTTAAGTCGTACATTTTGCGGACGTTTTATCTCTCCAATATACAACTCACCGCACAAAGTACTACAAATAAAATGGAACGAAAAATAAATTTGTGCAATAGGAAGGGTGGTAACCCTTTCAAACATGTAGAGCAATAGAAACTAGTTTAACTACACACTTATGCACATTTTGACTAGTTTCTGGAAGTTAATTTATTTATAATAACTACTATTAATATTATATAAATTATTATTAATTATTCAAATTCACAATAAAAGAAAGTTAAAAATAATATCTTTAAATTGCCGACCTGGGTATTATTTATTTGAATCTTTTAATTGGCTCGATTTTTCTTATTCAATGTTAATTAGCGCTCATCAATATTGTTGCGATGAATATAATGAGATTAAATAATTTAAAAAACCAGAGTCGGACTTGAAATTATTTTAAATAATAATTAAATAGTTTTGTTGTTGTTAAGGTACCCAAAAAAAGTGTGGCATACCATTGTACACAGGCGACCAACTTCTTTCAAAACCTGATATAAAAAATGCATGTTCGTATTTAAAAAAATAAGTTGGCCTCTGTATCTCACAAATTATCAGCTAATTTCCGAGAAATCCAAAAAATCTAAAAATACTCTCAAAAAAGCCCTAATAAAGTGGCTATGAGAATGTGCAATTAGTTTTTGGATTTTCTAAAAAGGAACGACAGGAGAAAATAACATTTATTTTCAAAAAAATACGTCTTTTCTAATCTTTGAAAACTCAACAATCCTTGAAATTTTTAAAACTTTTTTGATGGCATCTTAGTGAACATCCCAAGGCACAACTTTGTCCCAATTTAACTATCTTCGTATCTATTACGGTTTCCCAGATACCAATGCTCGTACCCCGAGTTTGTATCACCCTGTATACATATACAAGGGAAAAAGTAAATAAAGACAATGTTTCCAATGAAGTCCATTTTTTTTAGTTTCAAGCTATTTAATATATTATGTGTCACGAAGAAGTAGCAGTATATCAGCAAATAAAAAATACAAAAAAATGAAGACTTAGAAATCAACATGAAATACAGTAACGCCATTTATGTAGTTTATGAATATATTTGCCCCAAATAACTCGTTTCAATTTGTCAACAGCACTAACGTATAATGAAAACAAATTTTAGTTTCGCGTGTTAACATTTCTTTAATTTAACAACCGCCTCTATTTTTTGAATACTTACAGTGATATTGATCTTTAGCACATTTTGATTACTATTAACGATTCAAAGATTTTCGAATAATTTCGTTATGATTAATTATATGATTTCACTTTTATTTTTATGGATTGTATAAATGAATCGTCTTTATCAACTTTTGATATATCATGATAAATTATGTGATTTCAATAATAGAGTAAGTCAAATTAAAATAAATACCTAATAATATATTTTTTGAATATTAAAAGCAATGGTTTATGTTAAATATACTAGGACAAAGTTCGCAGTGTTTGCTGAATATAAATTTGACTAACGAAAAAACTACTTCATTAAAACAAAGTAGTTTAACTAAAACGTTTTGAGAAGTTCTAAGAAAAAATTAATTTGAATGCAAAAATTACTAATTAAGGTTAAACGGAAAAACTATTTTTTTAGTTTGTATAATGGCATAATATTGATTATAGGACGCCAAAAAACAATCGATGATGGGACTAGCAATTAGTAATAGTCTATTAAAATTACTCCAATAATTTTTGTATGGAAACTTGAATGTCACTTATACCATTACTATGGTATACGTCATATATAAGATATACTTCATATAAGAATACAGCGACTACAGCGATCTCGTAAAACTAGGAAATATACCAAGATTAAATTAGATAAAAGTTCGTTAGCATTTTATTTTGAAATCTACATTAATTAATTTATGTTAATCTCTTGTTTAAATTTTAATTCATTAAATTGCATGTTTCAACAATGTTGATATTTTCTTGTTCAATTTCCTATATCACATACACTATTATTTTACTTTATTTGGTTCTTCGTAATTAATTTAAATATGGCAACATCTGTATCTACAGGTATTCGGCTGCGCGATCCATTTGAGATTTCTTACGAGCACCCCAATTATGCTGAAACCGACCCACATTTTTCTTCAATATCAAATCCTTAGTCCCACCCTGATGAATATGTAAATGAAACGTCATATCCAACTTTGCAGGGTGGGACCGTCGCTCAGATCCACCAAATTTAGTCACCATCGAACGACATCAACTTTTGACGTCAAAACTAACTGTCACAGTGACACGTGTCGTACACGATCAAGTTGGCCCTGGTTCAACCTATCGACATATCAAAAATCATATAAATCGGACAATTTTATCGCCATTGATGATGGGGTTTCATAGTGCACGAAACGTCGTCAAAATATCATGAAAAAATTGGGTTCCTCGAAAAATAAAAACCAAATCGAGAAAATGTACTAATCGGTAAGTGTACGATTCTACAATCATTCTTAGTAATTTTAATTAACATTAATGTATAGGGATGTGCGACACAAAAACATTATTGTTTTTGTGCATTGTTTTTCATACTTCTGACACAAATTACCTATAACAGATGCGAAAGAAAGCGACTGCATCGGAAACCGCTCGGCAAACCCGACACGCCTATTGAGTGGTGTAAATACACCAGTCGTTTAGTCCGGAAACCTATGCTTTGTCGTATTCGCTTGCTGGAATGACATAGTGCGTGGTTATATGTTCCTTTTTAAAAACGCGTGTTGGTTTTTTTGTTGAACTTTTGAACTGTTATTTCTAAGTTTTGGTAATTTGTATATCTTATTTAAAATGGGATGCAAATGTGTTTATTTATAAGGAAAAAAAAAGATATTTATAGTATAAAAAATTAATTTATTTAACAAAATTTAATTAAAAATGTGACAAAATAGTTACCTTTCTATTGGTTCTATCGGACTTTTTTCGACTATATAAATCTTTATTTGTAAACTTTAATACATCAAATATTTTCAATCTAATTAATCATTTAATGATGTAAATAAGAGGAAATTTCTCACATGGGTGGTCAAATTTTTTAGTTTTCATTATATCAAACAGCCTCTGAGAAATGTTTTCAACTCAAAATGCCTTTAATTATGTTTGACTACATCATTAAAAAGGGTGTTCAAATACATCAATGTGATATTTGTCTAAAATTTGCAAAAAAATCCGAATCTCTGGATAACTCGAAATTATTTACCCATTTAAAAGCCTTTGATCATGAAAGTGGAAAAATTTGTTCATTTTATTTACAGGCTGGAAAAATTATTTAAATTAAATTTTGATGAGTTTTGCACTGAAGAAAACGTTCAGAGGCTGTTTGATATAATGAAAACTATAGAATTTGACCACCCATGTGAGAAATTTCCTCTATTTACATCATTAAATTATTTATTAGATTGAAAATATTTTATGCATTAAAGTTTACAAAAAATAAAGATTTATATAGTCGAAAAAAGTCCGATAGAACCAATAGAAATGTAACTATTTTGTCACATCTTTAATTAAATTTTGTTAAATAAATTAATTTTTTATACTATAAATATCTTTTTTTTTCCTAATCTCCTACGAGCTGATATAATATGACGAGCAATCTATTAAATTACTGTGAGATTATACAGAAAAGTCCACAGACTTCGAGACATAGGAAAATCAAGTCCATTTAGCGTGTGTCCAAATTTTGACAAGTTTTCAAAAATGACAGTTTTGTTTAGACTGACGTTTAATTTCACCTGACTTCTCGGTGAATGATTTCTTTTTATGGGGGTACATAAAATCTAAAATTTACGGCCATGAAGAAATTCAAAACTTGGAGCAGTTAAGGCAGAAAATATTTAATGCCTTTGACACTGTCACCCCTGATATGTTATCCAATGTGAGGAGGGGATTTTATGATCGTTTGGGTTATTGTTTAATGCAAGAGGGAGGCACTTTTGAACAATTTTTGTAATTTTTTAAATTTCATTATCCTGTTTTTTTACCGTTTACCCATTACCTACCTTGACGAACATGGGAAAACGAAGGTCCTTTTCAGGACCACAAATATTTTGATTGAGAAAATTGGTAACTTTTTTTTGGATTAAAAAACAAAAGTTGTTAATATAATACCAATTTAAAAGTGTTTTAGTAGTTTTAATACACACTATGATATAAAATTTATTATTATTATAATGTACATTATTAATACTATTGTTCATTCGAAATGGCATTAAGGCTCAATTGCAACAATGATTTAAATTTTTCTTAAAGATAAGTAGAGCTTAGAATGAGCTGTATTTATATTTACTTTAATATTCACCTTAAATGAGGGAATTCGACTGATACAATTTTAGAATTTGAATTGTTTTTAATGATACTAACAATTTTAGTTCAATTTTTAATAAAATTTATTTAATATTAATAGAAATCCAAGAGATTTGAAACCTCTTTTAGCGATTTCAAACATTCTCAAATGAATTACAGATGCCCTTATTTTCTATGAAAATCACACAGCTTTTTTCATAGTCGCTGCAGTTGCTATAGCTATAAAAAACTAATTTTTTAAGGTGTGAAAATTGCGACACACATTAAATGGATTTGATTTTTCGTATGTCTCGAAGTCTGTGGACCTTTTTGTATGCCTCGATAACATATTGATGCAGATTATTTTCACCCAAACAAATAACCCAAACTATACATTGATGCGGATTGTCTATGAACTCTTTCTGAAAGTCACAGAAACCTGAACGCGTAATTCGGTGTTCTTTCGCATCTGTTGTAGTTAATTTGTGGTCTAGATCCGGCATAAGGTATATATAAATTTAGTTTTTTGTATGAAAAGTCAATAAATTTAATTTTATTTAATTGAATTAGTGTTTTTTTTTCAATTATTGTATTTACTGTGTATTTTAAACCATCCGTCTGGCAAGGGTAAATAAATCAACCACTCCGTAAATACAATATTTAATATCCAAGATAATATTTTGATAATTTTGGATTTTTTTTATCCAAAGTAATTAACAGTTTTTATTATTTTTATTATCTGAATTTTTTGGCGGAACCCATACGTGAATCTTCGGTCTTGTGGTACTGTAAGGCATAAATTGCCCTGTCGTTCCGCTCATATTCTCCTCGTGCTCGAGCATCCACTTGTAGTTTGGCCTAGATGGGTCACAATATGGTAAAAGGTCAGTTTTGTAATGCAACCATCCAAACCATTCAGCTGGTATTTGACTACCATCGTATTCTAAAACGTAGTATGGGGCGTATTCAACCTAGGTGAAAAAATACAATTAATCAAAATACTGAAAATAAGTTATTTAGATTTTTACCAATTCATTTCTTATGATACAATTCGATTGTCTTTTTGTTATGAATTATATTTTTGTCTTATCCGTCAAAAAATTATCACAAATTAAAAATAAATAAGTATATCATATACATATTTGAATAAAAATATTAATCAGATTTTCTTTTTCAGGTAAGTTCTACTTTCAATAAACACGATAGAGACATAAATGTAAGTAAGTAGTACTCATAATTTGGCTATAATGACGATAAATTTCATTATTATCCAGGGTGAGTCTTAAATAAGTGCAAATATTTTTAGGGGTAGTATATTTCGACCCCAGAAACACATCTATGAGTTTTTTCGCGAATTTTTTTTGAAAGTGTTTTTAATTTTAAGTTAAAAACCAATATCGTAACATAGGTAGTAGGTAGTAGATTTGCGAGAGAGAAAACCCAGAAAAGATCCAGTGCTTCTCAAAATTTAAGGGAAAAATCTTTTTTTTTAATTTCACAGTAAAATATCTCGGTTATTTTCGACTTATTTGAAAAACGGCAAAGAGAAAAAATGTTTCTTTTATCAAGATCTACCAGCCCTGGAAATATTTGCACTTATTAAAGACTCGCCTTGTATAAGATGATTAAAGCTCAATTTAATCATCTGCTGTTTAATGGATTATTTTGGTGTATTGTGATGAACTAGTGTTTTATTTTACTGTTGGAACACGACCAAAGTTTCCGACTCCAACTGTATTTTATCTTAATACAGGGTGGCCCATCGAAAACGTTCCGCAAGGCATAACGGCCAGGGTAATTTTTTTTTCAGAAAATTCAAAAACACGTCAATTTTGTTTGTGAGGGGGACAACTTTTGCCCCAAAAATTATTGAAAAATCTTCAATCCTCTAAGCGGTGGTGTCATCCCCCGATTTTTTTCAAATGGGAAGGGGGTCAAGGGGTACCGCAATGAAAAGGGCTTTCTATTCTCTATACTCTCCTGCTTCGTTTTTGAAGATCGGTCGAGTCGTTGGGAAAATATGAAGGATTGAAATTTGAAAAGTTTTTTAAACATTTATCAGAGTAAATGATAAGGATAAATTCCTTCGACCAATTTGCTGTTTTTTCTTATTATTTCTAGATGTTTGCAATCGGGTTGAGCAGATATTCAATGAACGCCATCCTGTCAAACACCTTTATGGCAAAATTGTTCGCCAGTTAGTAGCAAAATTTCGCGAAACTGGTTCCGTTATGAATAAAAAGAAGCAGAGGGAAAATCCTGTAGTAAATGAAGATATGGAGGTATTCGTATTGGGCCAAATTGCCATGGACAGTATTCTGAGTACAAAATTAATCAATGAGACCGGCGGGAATCGTACAAGTTTCCAAAGGATATTAAAAAAACGTTCCACCTGTACAAAATTCAGTTGGTACAAGAACTCAACGAAGACGATTTTGTGAAACTATGAGCGAACGAGTGGCGAATGATACTAATTTCCTATTTAATGTGTGTTTTTCGGATGAGTGTACTTTCTTTTTGAACGGTGTAGTTAATCGGCACAACTGTCGGTGCTGGGCTAAGGACAACCCCAGGGTTTTTCACGAGGTGCACACACAAAACCCTCAGAAATTGAACGTGTGGGCTCGTATTTTTGGAAATTCTATTGTGGGTCAGTTTAACGATATTGAGAAGAACTTCAACGTACAAGTCACAGAACAGCTATCTAGCAACTACCGCACCTGATCGTTCAACGTTGTAGCAAGTGAAAAAATGCGTAAACATCTAGAAATAATAAGAAAAAAACAGCAAATTGGTCGAATTTATCCTTAATTATATTCGGTCTCGTCTCATAAATAAGTACAATGTAGTACCCTTTTCTGCGTGCTGCGACCACACATTTTAAAGCCTAAACAAACAAATTTCAACATGCCCCTCGCTTCCCTGCTCCCTTACCTCATTATATGCCCTTGCATCATTTCTTATTTAGTCTTTTTTTGTGTGCGGTACGACCCACATCGAATGTCGCGTAAAAGATATCGATCGCGCTCTCGCTCCGAAGAGCGGAGTGTTTTTAGATTATCTTAAACGGATGGATAAGCGATTAAAGTTATTAGAAAATAAAAACATGCATAAAAGAAAAAGATTAGGGAGGGGCTTACGCATAAATTAGTGACATTACTGGCCTTAGCATCGGGTCAATGTTTACAAACACTATCGCTTATTGATATAAGGGAAATTTTTCGGAAGTTAGGGGAAATACATATAACAATTAGCGCAAGATTAAAAACATTCGGTAGAAATAAGCCGCAACCCTTTTTACACTTACCTTATTTCAAGAAAGACGCTAATTTATGCGTAGCTAGCACGTTAGTAGAGTATCTGAAACGAACAGAGAGCATTAGAGGAAGTATAACTTCTCTTTTCGTAACAATCAAGAAACCGCATAAGAAAACATCCACTCATACCTTGGGGCGCTGGATTAAAATTGTCCTAAATAAGAGTAGGATTGATACGGATCATTTTACCGCTCATAGCACACGGCATGCTGTAACTTCAGCAGCTGCCAGGAAAGGGTTAAATTTTGATACCATCAGACTCGCTGCTGGTTGGTCTAAAAATTCTAGAATGTTCGCTACTGTTTACAATAGATCCTTGATGGATAATGAGAATAATTTTGCTGAGAAATTAATCTTTATATATTTTCAATATAGAAATGGGAGAAAAGATTATGTTGTTGTTATTACTTTAAAAATCTACATTGTACTTATTTATGAGACGAGACCGAATATAATCACAAGATTAAACGAACTTACCTGAAGTGAAGTTCAATCTTGATTATATGAAGGTCTCGTCGAAATAAATAAGTTCCGTATATAACCTCATTTTACAACAACATAATAACCTCATTTTACAACAACATAATAAGTATCTTTAAATTGACTAAATAAGAAATGATGCAAGGGCATATAATGAGGTAAGGGAGCAGGGAAGCGAGGGGCATGTTGAAATTTGTTTGTTTAGGCTTTAAAATGTGTGGTCGCAGCACGCAGAAAAGGGTACTACATTGTACTTATTTATTTCGACGAGACCTTCATATAATCAAGATTGAACTTCACTTCAGGTAAGTTCGTTTAATCTTGTGATTATCATTTACTCTGATAAATGCTTAAATAAACTTTTCAAATTTCAATCCTTCATATTTTCTCAATGACTCGACCGATTTTCAAAAACGAAGCGGGGAAATATAGAGAATAGAAAGCTCTTTTCATTGCGGCGCCACTTGACTCCCCTTTCCATTTGAAAAAAGTTGGGGGATGACACCCCCGCTTAGAGGGTTGAATATTTTGAATCATTTTTGGGGCAAAAGTTGTCCCCCTCATAAACAAAATTGACGTGATTTTGGATTTTTCGAAAAAATAAATACCCTGGCCGTTATGCCTTGCCGAACGTTTTCGATGAGCCACCCGGACATGAATAAATCTATTTTTAGTACCTTGTTGTAATTTAAAGATTTTTTGGAGTGTGTTTCTGTAGCTGAACAAGAGAAATAAGAACGCTTACAAGACCACTCTAGTCTTAGTCTATGACAGAGGCTACTCCTTGAAACTATGTAAAGTATAATGTCGATAGATCTTTGAAATGAGAAACGCGACAGTCGTAGCTTGAAGAGGTTTGATCAATACTCGTTGAAGAAGAACTTTCAGTAAGAAGATCGTACCTAGTTACATTAAAAAAACAAACTAAATAAGGAGAAAACGGAAAAACGAAAATTACAAGTATACTAGAGTAACTAGAGAGTAGAGATAACCAGAAAATCGCAAACTGCAATTTAATCGTAGCGATTGTAAATTTGCAAGCGCAATATTATTTCAGTTTGCGATTTACAACAAAAATAAAAACATAAAAATAAAAATAAAAACGTAACAATAAAAATATAAAAAAGTAAAAATAAAAATGATGAGGCGCAGTACCACCAGTTTAGGGCCAATAACGAAACCATAAACATCCATAGAGGATAGGCACTGAAAGAAGAAGAAGAAGAAGATTTACAACTTTTTTTTGGGAACTTCAGAATAGATACATACTAAAAAATTCTGAATAAATTTAAAAAAATGTTTTATTTTTTCTTTTTTTGAGTCTTATCTAAAATCTATTTACAATTTTCATTACATTTTTATAAAGCAAAATTCATAAAAAATATGCTATTACATATATTTGAAGTCCCTGAGTTGTATCTTCGTTTAAAAACTAAAAATATACCTAAGATATTTACGATTTGTTTAGCTTAGAAACCGAGGAATGCGGATAATTTGGCTTGGAGTGCAGTGAGAAGTGATGAGACGTATGACATTTACGCCTAAAGCATGGCGTGTGACTGTAATAGTAACGACGATTTTCAATATTATTTTAGCAAGTTCAGCCTCAAAATAGTGTGCTTCTGTTTAGTATAAGGAAATGTCCCTTACCATTTTATTATACCTGCTTCTTTGATCAATGTGCAGTGAAATGAATATCTTTCTTAAATAAGCACATTTTGAAAATTACACAAATTCACCACAGCATATGTTTTAATCACCCTTTAATGTAGCTAACATAATATACCGGGTGCTGCATCGTCGTTGGAAACATAGGAGATCCCATGCAACAGGAAGAAAATAACAATGACTTGAATATTCTGCATGTTGAAGAAAAGAGTAACATTGATCCCGTCTATTGGTGGATACAGTAGGAAAAGACGACATGATCTTTCACCGAACAATTTCTTCCTGTGAAGCACACTCAAAAACCGTCTTTATGTTCTCTCCCCTTAACAGCTTTATATTGTGAGGTGTGAATTTTACAATCATTAACTGAAAGACAAATTTTGTGGTAATGTTTGGCTGTGAATGGAGGATTTGGAGCTTTATTAGTTAGTATAGTTTAACAGAATTCCTTTAGTTACAAATATATCTTTTATTTGTTTAATTATTGTGGATGAATGTGGTAAGAG